TATATATATATATATATGTGTGTGTGTCAAGGATAAGTTTATTCTTGATTTAATATATTTTTTTCATTCTAATTATTGCAGAAAAGGTCAAATAAAAACATCTTTTCCTGCGTCATAACGAGAAAACAATACTTAAAAAAGTATTTTTTGCTATGAGAAAATTTACAGAAGGTTTTTTTGATATTTTCAAAATTCTCTCTCTCTCCATACAATTTTATTATTTTCTTAATATTTACCGCGTATAACGAACGAGATAACGGGTATGTCTTTCATTTCGCACTTCTCATTTTTACAGTTTCGGAGAAGAAGTCCCAGACAATTTAAACGCCTCGTGAATACGTGACAGGGCGTCTCGTTTCAGCATAGCTGCTCTCTCAGCATCGCTACTGAAAATATAATACCGTGGCATTTTCGATTGGAGACGCTTGTGTAGGCGCACGCATTTCCGGCGCACGGCGTGAAACTCGCCGAATCTGCGGGACCATAATTGATCTACTTGTTCTGATCATACGGGACGAGAACGCGGGAGAGTGCCACGAGGGCAATGACATTGACACTCGTTTTGCGCTTCGGTGGACGTCGCGAATCATTTCTACAGGATGCAATCATGAAAGCGTTCATATAACGCTTCTTGTCTAATGGGCTTTCTACAACAAGCCGTTAGTAATAGATCAGAAGTCAGGAGCAAGTTGTAAGCGAGTCAATAGTGTGTCATAAGGCAACAATAAGTCAGTAATCAGTAGTCACTGCATGGAAATGACATAGAAATTTCATTTATTATGATTTATAACTTAGATTACGTTAACTTACCAATCGTGTATTGTTATTTGCCTTGATCATCCTTTTGATCGGCTGAAACATTGTGACGTAACAATTTAATATGATTTATTCTGGGTGTAAATTTTCTAGACTTATGATTTATATTTTAACTTAGTATTTGATATGAATAATGACTCGGTTTATCGTGGAAAGCCTTATAATAGTCCGTGTGCTCGAACATTCTCACTTTTAGAAAAAATATCTCGTTAAATAATGTAAGAAGAATTTAAATACAGTTTACTTTTTGTTAAATTATAGCCCTTTTTCTTCCCCTTATTGAATATTTATTTGTCATTCTCATTTGTTCGGTTACATTCTATAATCAGGCATTTTATTTTCTCGGTATGTATGTGAAGGAGAGAAAAGAGAGAGGAAACGCGCAGTATAAGTAATTTCTGCCAACGACACGCTCGATCGAATTCCGCGGAAAATAGGACGCAAAATAATCTGCAATTCAAGTACATTTTTAGAATTAATGTACTTTCGATTTTTATTCCTGTTCAACGTCAGCCTTGAATCCGCTCATTGATCCGCAGTTAGCATCGGCTTCCGATCTCGTGCGCGTCATCTGAAAAAATGTACCTTAAGAAAGAGATGTCCAATCGGACGCGCTTAGCTTTGAGCGCACCGCGAAAATGTTGGGCCTTGGTCTTGTCGCAACGGATCGACACGTTCGATCCACATTAAAATATGTGTCGCAGAAAGTGAGAGTCGCGAGAATGGAAAACCTGTTTCGGGGACTTGCCCAGCGCGATAGACCGGCAAATATCTTTCGATCGAACGCGTCGCCGCGCATACGAGGCATTTCGAATTGCTCTAGAACAGTGCCTCCGCTTTAACTTGGTCGTCAAGGCCTCCATCAAGTAGAAATTCTGGGATCGAATATAACTTCGTCGGTAGAATTGAAAAAATACACGTAGATAATGAGCTTTTGAGGTTTCCATTTAATTTCTACATAGAAGCTATACGTTTATCTCCACGTCCATTATTAGAATACTAACGTTTCGTGTATGTGTATGAACATTGCAGTTCGCTTCATCAAGGTATCAGGCAGCTCCTCGTCCTCCTCTTGATGAGGTGAACTGCAATGTTTATGAAATACTTACATTCTTAATACACTTGACACAGAAATAATCCACGCGTAGCTTCTTAATACACGTTTCAGGATAACGAAGAAGAGAGAGAAAATAGAAGATTATCTTTTTATGAAATCTCTATATCAAAGACATATTTTCTTTGTGTACTCAGAGATGAAACCTATTCCGTAAGGTTTACTAAGGCTGAAAGTAGCAGTCGAGAGTATTCCCAGGCGTCGCGAGTAGTTCTCTATCGTCTCACCGTGATTCTCTCTCTCTCTTCTTGAGGCCAGCCAGCTCTCAGTGGCTCGTCGACGTTCGAATCGCGACTTTAGCATCGATACTTCGCGCTCCGTCGTACAATCGCATTGATTGCAGGATATTTCATTAAGTGTCCGGACTGGAACATCGTTCGTTCCGATTCGCGAAGACATGCGGCCTTCGACTTCGTCGAGGTATCAATCGTGAGGAATCCAATCGTTTTAACCCATTTGCCCGTTTAATTATTTATTGAGAGGAGCGAGACTCTCGCCTTAATGGACATCCAGGCGTGGACGTTCGTGATAATCTGTGCGGCTAAGACGCATCGTTTGTCACCATGAAAATGCATATGGAGTTTCGTTCGCGCGATATATCAATGGTATTCTCATTGCTGATGCAATTAAGACCGCAATTTAATTAGACCGCAACTTGGGCGGCAACGGAACGGAACGGGTTGGATTGTTAAATTCGAAAGGTCGCGTACACGTGACGCGATGAAGATAGACGAAAGTGAAGACGGTACTTTCAAAAGTGAGTCGACATCATCACTGCTATCTTCCTCATATGCATATTATAATTTGTGATGCAAACGTTACAGCGGTGTCTAGAATTTTTATAATATTTCTCAATCTCTTCAGAAATGAATGGATGATTTGGCTGTTCGAGTTTAAAATTATGATTAAAAGTTGCAAGCAATCTAAGTTGCAATGAAAAATTGACTTTTTTTAAAAATCTTAATTAAGATTAAAAAAAAAGAATAGCTATTAAAATTCAGCCAGTTGTATAAGAAAAATAAAAGATAATTTACTTTATATTAAATGTGTTGCTCAATGATTAGAAAAAAATGGTCGTATAAGGTGGATAGTTTTGCCTTACGATTTCGTAATTCTCTCCTTTAAGATAAACAGTTGGTTTAGAAAATAAACAATATATGTATGAACTCTTATTCGTTCGAGTTATTTTTTCGCAAACCTTGCTACGTATAAAAACTCTTGTTGAACATTAATGGCATTCTTATCTCGGTTGTATTATCAACTTGTTTATGTTTATTACGACCTAACTAAATCATTAAATTTTGTATTCGTACTTTACAAGAGTATATTTTAGCTTTTATCACTGACCAAGAATTATAAATACGAACGGTATGTATTGTTCTATGACTTCCGGTAACATTTCAATAACATTCTGGTAATAATCGCATCACGCTGAATCGTGATAGGATTACGTGAAGTTATTACATCTCGTGATACGTATGACCACATCCTGGTCTAACGTTAGTTAACGTAACTTCGAGCGGAGACATTAAAATCATGAATCACGCCTTTGATATAGATTGTAAATGTTTATAATCTTCGTTTAATCTTTAAAAAGCGGAAGTTTATTTTATTTGTATTTTTTATTTTCATTGAAGATGGCGTTTCAGATTAAAATGCAATAGAATAGAAGAAAAACACTAAAAAAAAAAAGAGTTAGAAATAATAGATTCGTGTAAAAGAGTCATAAATTAGATAGAGTATATCGATGTTAATTATTACATTAAATATAATTAAGCTCTTGAATAATTTGTTTTATTAAAAAAAGATTTTACCTTAACACTTGTCCTACTAGGAGAGAATGTTCGAATCGTATTTAAGTCTTGTTTATTATTTTGAACGCCTACATCGAGGGCAAATTGCCATAATTATTTGGCTTCGGCATTCCTTGGCACGGATGCAATTAAGTGTAAATATTATATGTAAAGATCAACTATAAGTAAAAAAAAACAACGTAAAATAACTATGAAAATTAAGTATAAAAATAGAACTAATTTGATTTGGGTAAATATGGCGGAGTTGTTGACGTTTTTTATCATAACTCATTTTAAATCTTTTAAATGACGCAGAATTAACAATGAAAACTTAAAGTTAATGATACACATAATTATATGAGAGCTCATAAATATAAAAAGTTCGAAAACTGTTTTACTGATACAATTTTTTTAGATAATGAAAAGTAATTATGATAAGAAAATGCAAGATAAAACGTTATTTAATTACAATTTTACTATATTCAATTATGTTACGTTGCGTAACATTAATATTCATTACTCTCAGTAATGCATTTTATAATATTATAACGCTTTGACTTCTCAATTAACAATGTACCAATTCTTGCTCTAATCTTGCTCTCTCAATTACAAGTGCCACATGTGGCTTTCAAGACTTATCTCTCAATTAATATTTTTTACACAATTAAAGATATTTCGTTTACAGTGATATATAATAATCGTAAAAGCATTTGACTACAAAGAATTTTGTCAAAAAAGAGAAATAATTAATGTATTTAATAAGAGCAGATAAAGTGACTAAAAAAGATAAATTTGTATGACAATTTTTTGTTCAGCATCTACTCCATCTTCCACCTTCGACCTGACGTCGAATGTTACAGATAAAAATATTCGTGAAACATGCGCGTGTATGTGAAAGATAATCGAGGTCACGCGGTTTAGAATACAAGTTATGAAGAAATCGATAAAGATATAATTATTCAGAGACGGCTTTTGAGAAAAAAATATTTAACAGGCTATCCTGAATATATTAAATCCTGCAACACAGGTTGTTCATACAAAATTCTTGACTACTGTAGTCTAATTTGCACAAGAATATCTCCATGTATCTTTCATATTTTGTTATATTAGAATGAAAATTCTTTGGAAAATGTATCGCGTGTTGCATTAACATATTGTCAGTATATGTTAGATTATTTTATAAAAATAATATCTTTTTTAGCAGGTATTTTACATTTATATTACATTTATAAAATAACCGATGTCTAACCAATATGTTAATGTGCGATACATTTGCACGTGATACATTTTATTGCAAATTTATTGATATTAATTTATATCTATAAAATATTGTATATATACAATTTTATATAACTATGTATATTGGTTTTTAATATTTACATAAAAGCATTTCTTCTTCTTATTTCCAGAAAATGGTGTCGAAAGTGGTGCCCAGCCTACAATTGTCAGAGCTCCCAGAGATAGAAGGAAATTTAATCAAAACGTATGTGTTTTTTATCTTCTATCTTATTCATTTAGTGCGCACATATTTATCTAAAAAGATAAGCGATTTTAGCATACTCGATTATATTGTAAGCACAAAAGATATTTTTTTTATTTCTATGTTATAATATATAATATACATAATTAAATGCAATTGATACATAACTTTCTGAAATACACAGATGAAAATAAACTTCTAACATTTCAATAGATGTAACGAATCAAATTAAACCATTTATTTAAATTAAATGGTTTACTAAATATAACGGTGAAATATATATTTATATTATATATTGTTTTATTTTACAGAATATATGCGGCGTAATGTTTAATTATACATCAGGAGATGAATTACAAATATAAATTATTTAAAAAGATTTATTTTATAAGTTATATATATAATTTATTTAAAAAAATACAAATGTTTAAATATCTGTCTTCTTTCTAACGTACACGTTACAAATACTTTAAAACATTTTCTGTAACATATATTTTTCTTGTGCATTGCAACAGGCAAGTGATTTTACGAACATTGGAGACTGGCCTACTTTAGGAACACAAATAGAGGTGGGTATTGTTATTAAATTTCTGTTAAATTACTATCATATCTTTAGCAAGTTATCTAAGTTATTATTTTAAATGAAACTGTTATATATTATTAAATAATAATTATTAATAATGGTTTTATCTATTCTAATTGCCGTAAATAATATTTCTTATGTCATTATTACATAATAAACTGCAAGATCTAGAGCTTGCAAATGATTTATTCGTGCATTTGTGAGTGTAGAAATTTTGCTAAAGAAACATCAAATATTTGTCATCTCAGATAAAAGTTACTATGTCTGAGAACTGTTCATTATTTGTACACATTATATGTACGCGTTCCTCGAGTTTTCTTACTTTTATGAATTCTCTTTTATTATTTTTTATTTTTGTATGTATACAGTAGACGGTATTTTATCTTTTAATATAGAGGAAAACAACTGTAACTCCTTTGAAGCAAAATGGTGTGCTTAATGGTGAACCAAGTACCTCTAAGACGTGCAACATTGTCGAAAGCAAAGGCAAGGAGAACAAGGAACAGATAAACTATCAAGATGATAGCGACGAGCATATGGATAACAATGAAAAGAAAAGGAAAGGTGAGAAAGTCAATCTTTACTCTTGGAATTCATTATAATAATCGCTTATAGATAATATAACAAAGTAATAACTTTGTTTACAAATGAATTGTTCTACTTGCAATGTAAATAAGAAATATTTTTAATCTACATTTAATTGAAATCTGATTATCATTTGTCCAGCGAATAAACAAAAATGGGTCCCGCTTGAGATAGACTTGGCACAAAATCGTGGGACTATGCGATCACCGAGATTTCAAAATCATAGAGAAAAAAATGGTGAAGGTAATTTTATTTGTATATGTATAATAATCGTGCGTACGTGCGTGCGTATGCTTGTGTATGTATTGAAACTTAACTGCAATATGTGCATGTAGCGATAATAAAAACAAACGAATATAAATGTTAATTATATTGTGATCAACAGCGAACGATGGTGAGTATTGGCGTGAAAGGGATTACGATAGATCAACTGGATATAATTCACGAGGACGCGGTGGAAGAAATTATAGAGGTAGAGGACGAGGCGGGCGTGGCCGTGGTGGTTTCAGACACCGATACGATCACGAGTATACAAATTATACTACGGACTGTGCACAAGTAATTTCTTTTTGATATACGCAGTTTAAATTATTTATTATCGCGAATTGCGATAGTTCAATAATGATGTTACCTAAGGTGGGAATCTATCTGACCTTATTTTGATGGATAATAAGTGATAGTAGAACTGAAGATCTTTAAAGTTTATATCTATATTTGTAATTTCTGTTTCTTCAGACTTCATGTTTTCTTCTTTTTTACAGGCCCATAAATATGAACATACGGATTCTGGATATATGATACCTTATATGGGAACATGCTATTTTAATAATGCAAATTACATAGATACTACTGCATTAAAAGAATATATACGAAAACAAATGTAAATTTAATCTATATTTTTTATATCTATATAATTTGTATACATATATATCGGAACTTGGATAACATCTTTTTTTTATACAGAGAATATTACTTTTCTGAAGAAAATCTTGTAAAGGACTTTTTCCTACGTCGTAAAATGAACGCTCAAGGATATTTACCTCTCACTTTAATCGCATCTTTTCAACGTGTACAAAATTTAACGGTGGATATAGATTTGGTGATAGAAGCAGTCTTGGAATCCGATAGACTGGAGCTGTTAGAATTAGAAGATGGATATAAGGTATTATAAACTTATTTTAAATTAATAAAATATAGCGCATGTTATCTGATGAAATCGACATAACACAGCACATATTTTTTAAAAAATCTAGCATGTTACATATGTTAGATACAAAACTTGTGCTACAGCAAATTGAAGAGGATTCGCTGACACCATTAGAACTTATTTTAAGTTCGATGAATGGGGTTTGATAGTAGACCTCGTTACATTGTATTTATAATTATTCAAATCTTACATATATGTATGTTCTTTATGCACGTATATAATGGAATTTTTCTAATAATATAAATTTTTATTTTTCAGATTAGGACAAGATTCGATCCGTTAAAATGGCCTCTTTTGGACATAGCTAGTAATATCGCCTTTTCAGATCATACACAACAGTCTAACCCATCTCAGTCCGAAATAATTCCTACCTCTGAAACTACATTTTGTCCTATTGCAAAGCCTTTATCTACAATGCCTGCTCCCCCAGTTCCTCGTGTGTTTGAATCTTACCATTCCATTTCAACAGTAAGATATGATGAACCAGAGATAAATTCTTCTACAATAAATGAGATTCTAAATCCTGATGTGCCAGAGTTTGTGCCGACAACGGAAAGAATCAATGGATTTACCGCTACGAAACAGCAATCAAACAAAGATAACAGTAATCAAATAAAGACAACAAACAAATTTCACTTTGAAAAGATAAAAGAAACAATGGAGATTGCAGAAAAGTATCTTCTCTCTTTTAATAATAGTTCTCTCACGAATGTAAGAAGAGACAATGAATTACCAGCCACAGTAGATGCTCCTACTTCGGACAGCTTATCAGAACGAATCAATGGAGAATCGGATTCATCAAGCGACAATACTTGGAAGGAGGTAACTATTATTTTATTTTTTATTGTATCAAAGTACAGAAATTTGCGAAAATGAAAGTATTACGGAAATAAATTTTATAGGTGAGAAGAAGAGTGAAACATCTACATAAAGACAAAACAGAAGAGAGACATTCACACAAGGACAGAACAGAAGAGAAAGAGAAATCTGAAATGAAAAATGCAATACGAGAAGAACTGGATTTTCAATTTGACGAGGAACTGGATTCACCGCCACCGACTGGTCGACATAATGCCTTTTCAGAATGGTTAGTTTATAAGGACAATTGAAACGTCAAATGGTTTACTGCTCGGTGGGATTGACTTTGTGAATCCGAGTTCATCTGCGCCATATACGCGATTTTTCGCGTTTAAAGAGCCGAAAATGACTCCATCTTTAATTAAAGATATAGCGATTAAGATATCTTTGATCACCAGCGTCGTTCGGATTCGGCGTTAAACTATAGATCTCATATATATAGATATATTTCCGGGTCCGTGTTGATCTGTATCAGCGAGCGTACATTATAATTGATACACAATGTCTGTCTTACACAATTTACGTCTGCGTTTCATTAAACTTTGTATATTCTAATGGGTTTTCATACTTATATGGATACACTTGTTTGAATAATTTACATATGATTTTTGAACGTTTTCTAAGAGATATGAAACACATTTGACTGTTCAATCGTATGTAAATAATATCGAGTTCTACATCAAAACTCACCTTTTCTACATCAAGACTCACTGTGATTACAGTGAATATACGAGCATTTTTGATAATTAATTTTATACAACAATTTGTATGATAAGTTATTATTTGAATTTAAACCGAGTTTTTTTATTATTTTTTTTAATTTTACTTTTCTTTATTTGTAATTTATTTTTTTTAATTGTGTGACAATTTAAAAAAATGTGTTTGACTCTTACTTTGCCCTTTATTGTTATTTATTCAGTAGATATACACATTTGTTCTCCCATCTTCCGTTGCAGATTGAACATTAGGCTAACTCCCGAAAAATTAATTCCTAACTAATTCCCGAAAAATTATTGTTTAGAAACCTCATCTAGAAGAGGCCCTGGTCAGATTTGGAGTGTCATTAGATGGATGGATGGATATTCTCTTAATTAACCTTTTAATTAACCCTGTATGTAAACCGCTGTTTTTCACTGATGTCGTGTGAACGGTGATTCATTTATGATAGCACCATATTTTTCCTAATAAATCGGTTTAAAAATCGGAAAAAAATTTTTTTTGTTTTACATCTGTATTTTGTATTTTGAACATTTTTTAACTCAAATGTTTTTTTATGTAGCAAAACACAGAGGGTATATAAAAATTTTTTATGTGTTCGAAAATCATAATTTTGCAATGAAAGAAAAAAAAAACTGCCTAGGTAGATGAATTTATATTCCACTCTTGTGAGATGATTTTTTTACGAAAAAGGTGATTTACAGATGTTTGCCTTAAAAACCTTAATTATTTTGAAAAGTGAAAATCATAACACAAAAATAAAATGATTTTTAGAAAAAAATTCAATTTTTAGAAAAATTATATTTATTTTACCTTACAAAAATATGAAATAATATTCGTACAAAGAAATTTTATAATATCAAAAAATTTTTTGAGAAAAAAGATTCAAAGAAATCATCTTCACTGGTACTTTGTGTATTGTCTACGTACATCCATCGCTCAAGATATACTCAAAAAACTTTGTTTCACTCTCTGAAGCTTTGTTCTAATATTGTTTAGAAACCTCATCTAGAAGAGGCCCTGGTCAGATTTATAGACTGTAGCGCCATTGGATGGATGGATACCCTGTTAATTAACCCTAGTGTGGACTGCTGTTTTTCACTAATATCGTGTGAACAGTGATTTATTTATGCCAGCACCATATTTTTCCTAATAAATAAATTTTAGGTTGTTTTCTCTAGCTCATAAAAGTCGTTCAATCTTTTCGTCGGATCTCGACATCATCACATTAGCTTTTTGCTAAGGCGGTATAAATCATGGACGACTTACCTGCTTGCAGGATCGCAGCAAACTAACTAAAAACCGTTATGATTGTCCTATATTCTCATTCTACTACCTGCTTCTTTCATCCCCTCTCTAATCTATTGTAATGCTATAGCTTGAAATTTTGACTGTTCCTTGAAAGATCCAGTTCATACGCAGGTCAATATTAAAATATTTTAGGATATTGTAGCATGAATGAATTTAGGTATTTTCGTTAAAAAATTTCTGCTTTGTTACAATAAACTCCAAAGTTTATAATGTATTTATTAACAATTTAAAAGTTAAGAATAAGAAGCCTAAATCTGAACTGTTTTTTTTTTATCATAGCTCAGAGAGAAGAGCGAGATTAGCTGATTATTTAAAATCTTTTAACATATAGATTAATGTTGATATTTTATATTTCTTGATATAATTGTTACAGGTCTGAAGATGACGATGATAATGAATTATCGGATAGAGATATTAATAAAATATTGATATTTACTCAAATCAGTCCTGCATCATCCAGAATCCCAAAGCATGAGGGCTATGATAGAACAGGAGAATGGACTACAAGAGTAAAAATGACTCAAGAATTAGAACAGTTTATCAACGACGGATTACATTATTATGAGGAACAATTGTGGAGACAAAATTTTCAAAGAGTAAGATTAGAACTTTAATCCCTCAAATTTAGAAACAAATAAAGAAAAATAAAAATCCAGGGATATTAATAAGTTATGTTAACATACAGCATGGCTCTTCTTCATCCATTGGAAGTTACAAAACGGTTAATATGATTAGTCAGGAAGATTTCGAAAAAATGGCGCCAAAAGCTCCAAGAAAAGCAAATCCGGAAGTCCCACCACCACCACCTCCTTCTATGGAAGATTTAGAAGTTTCGGTTTCATCACAGGTAATTCAAACTTTGCGAAATAAAAAAATTATCCTAGAAAAAAATATATATATATTATGTATTCGTTGAACAGCTTCCAAGCACAAGTCCAGATAAAAAAGATCACAGACAGGAAAGGAATCGTTGGAGTGATAAACTTTGTCCAAGAGAAGGTCGAAGAAATACCACGCCACGTTTCTTTGCTGTTGTGAAAGATGGACCGTCTGTTGATCCGAGAACGCCACGAAAAAGGAAGACTCGTCACAGCAATAATCCTCCAGTGGAACATCATATTGGCTGGGTTATGGACGTTCGAGAACATCATCCTCGAACATATTCCACAGGGTATGTAATATTCGCAATAAATTTGCAGCTTAAACTGAAAAATAAACTTTTCGATTCAAGATAAAAACACTTTATTGCTAACGTGAAATATTAAAAAGTAAAAATATTAAAAGTATACGAGGAGAAATAATTGCTAATTTTCTATGAAGTACACATAGCTCGTAAATTAAAAGTATCTAGCATTGTAATCTCATATTTATATTTTTATTTTACGATTAATTGGAATGAATTCGTATTAATTATTACTAACGATATTTCTATTTTTGTATAAATGTAAAATATAACATGATGAATCATTTATCTATATGTCTTCTTTTCCCGACTGAAGAACCTTGTAGAATAGTTTTAATCTGAATGATAATGGAAAAATGAAAGTTTAAGTTCATTTTACATATATATTTTAAACTCTATTTTATTATTTCAGAAGTAGCGCAGGCACAAGTCCTAATGAAGGTTATCTTGCTAATAGTTATGGAAGTGTTCCCAGTATCTGTGAGCATCCGAGTCATGCTTTGTTGAAAGATAATGGATTTACTCAACAAGCATATCACAAATATCATTCGCGTTGTTTGAAAGGTATCAGCAATATAGATATTTTCTTAAGATATTAATTTGTGTGTGAATAGAGATTATAAAATGATGAATTTCTATTTGTCTTCTTTTCCCGACTGAGAAAAACGTGTAGAAATACTTTTATCTGACTATTAATTAAACAAATTGTATATTCATATTAAATCAAGATTTTTACTTACATATCATATTTATATGTTTTTAGAACGCAAACGATTAGGTATCGGACAATCTCAAGAAATGAACACACTTTTCCGTTTCTGGTCGTTTTTCTTACGAGAAAACTTTAATCGTACCATGTACGAGGAATTCAGAACTATAGCCAAAGAAGATGCCTGCGAAGGATACCGATACGGACTAGAGTGCCTTTTCAGATTTTACAGTTACGGCTTGGAAAAGAAGTTTAGACATACATTATATACAGATTTTGAAATGGAAACGATTCAAGATTATGAAAGCGGTAAGATAAGATTTTATATGTATTTTTATTATATGTTACATGCATATAATAAAAAATACATATAAAATCTGTCTTGTGACAACATTGTCACAAAGTAGATAAACAGCACAAAATAGGTTGTTTAGCTATGTTATTGTACAATAGTTAAACGGTAAATTGTGCAACAGCAAATCAAGTGTTTTACTAACGCCAGAAGGATATTTTTGTCCTAGAATTTTGATTAGTAATAGCACAACAAACAAAAAACAATTTGATATTAACATACATAAGTCTGTTATGCTTACATTTTAATAAATTATTAGAATTACATCATACAGGCGCGTATTCGGATTCTTATCTGGATACTCCCCAAATGTCATGTCATCCTTGTTTAACGTTCGGTAAACAAGGATGAAGTGATACCTGAACACTTGGGAAATCTGAACATAGCTCTGTGTGCATAGAATATCCAGTAATTTACTAAATAAAACACAAGCAATCCAATAAGAAAAAATGCGTGTGCTGCTGTACATTATATTAATATAAGTTATTACAATATCATACTAATATTAAATTGAATTACTTAAACTAATAGGACAGCTGTATGGATTGGAAAAATTTTGGGCATTTTTGAAATATTATAAAAACTCTGATCAGCTTCATGTAGATCCTCAATTGCAAGAGTACCTATCAAAATTCAAGAACATCGAAGATTTTAGAGTGGTAGAAGTGAGTATTATTACAAACAAATTATTATTTCTCGCGTCATAATTGACTTTTTAATAGCATTTAGAGTTTTCATTTCTTATATTAAATAATATTTATGTTATTTTTTACAGCCTCAAATACATGAGATGCTCCAAGCTGCAAGAATACGTAATAGAACTGTTTCTGAAAGCGCTAGGGAAGATTCACTGACAAGCGAACACCTACTTTCAGATGACTATAACACACTGCCAAACGCGCAAGAGTCGCATTTATCGCAGTTTCGAAATAGGGCTGGTTCTTTTGGCTCTAGACTGTATCATTTTCGACGACGGAATGATTCCGCATCATCAAATAGCCAGCGAAATAGACAGAGTTCTGGTTTCTCTACGAAACCTTTCGAAGCGAGTAAATCATAAGTCACTGCCAGAGAACGAACTCAAGCCAGTTCCAATTCCGAAGCGAGCAAATCCGTCACGATTAAGACAGAGGGCTCGTCTACCTCCTAAACATGAAAATGGTGCAGCGATAAGAAAAAAATACGTGAATTTTGAATAAATCTGTGAATTGACAGAAATGATCGAATCGCCCTCTAGATGAAGTGGCGATAGTATTTTCGGTAATATACATTATTGAGAATTAATATCATAAAATGAAAAATGGAAATTGCGTCTCTAATCCTATTGTGTGATTTTAGAGATTATTATTATTGGAATGTGAAGTAAATTCTTGATAATAGATTTAGAACCGTGATTTAGCGTTTAAGATTATATTTACCGATATTTAAACCCCTTGGCGTGGTAGTGCATTGCGAAAGATATTTTCACTCGCTTTTCATATTATTTGCGATATTTAACTACGTTACAAAATAGAACCGAAGCCAGAAGAATGATGAGAATGCGTGTGTGTACATGGAGCAATATAACGATGGAAATGTATATATCCTAATACTTTCAGTTACACTTTTATTTCATATTTTGATGCAAGTATAGTGACAACACCTCGAGCAGGCGAACATTATCTGTGCAGAAACGTCCTGTAAGATATTGTTTGTTTAAACGAGTGTTTGATGTATGCAAAAAGATAAAGTGCTACTTTTATCTAAAAGACAGCATAAAGACTAAATATATATATATATATAAAATAACAGATAAATGCCTAAATATTACTTTTGATTAATCTGTTATACATTCAGAGACTAATCATATAATTCGTGAATACTCAGTTGTATAGATACACATCTATATGACTGTTATTGGATTTACTCTGTCTTTTCTGATTATTATTGAGATTATTTAAATTTCTATCTTTCTGCGAATTATATTTAACATTTTTTTATTGGTAAAGGCGCTCTTTTCAGTTTTCTTCTTTTTATTTTTTAGCACAATTTTTTTTATAGAAGACACGCATTCTTTATATATATATATATCATTGAAATATATCAATAGTATTTACTTACTCTCTTGAAGCGGTTAAGTGTTACATTCAGAGCTTCTATGTTAAGACTAAATGTAATTGTGGCGTACTTCCATATAATAACGCAATATATATCTATATATATATGTACACATACATATATATACATATATATCAATTTTGCCATATTTATTTTTCATAAAATGTAGATCACGAAAACATCTGCATGAACGTAACACAGATACAGAAAAGTTAACGTTGTTGGTCTCCAAAATGTAAATTTTTTAGACTTTCAATTCAAAGTCATTTGGAATTAAGCTTTTAGAAATCACTTGATGAATTCTTAATATATTACTCGCACTAATCGAGTTTGCATATGCATATATTTATACATACGCTGTCTATGCAATAATTATATTATAAATATTATACGTTTTGGTGAAATGAAAGTGTTACGAAGATTTGATTTATATCGTATTGATTTTGCATAACGAGAGGAATAATAAATTGAGTGACTTGTATATGTAAATAGAGAATTGAAGTGCACCGGCCGTTTTTATCAATTAATCAATCAAACGAATTAGTAAATTGTGTTGATGGTTGTTCTTTATTTTTTAAGTCGATAGTCGATCACTGTAGACTGTTCACAAAACGCATATTTAAAGGATGATGAGACGACTTTCGTGCGAACGCAAAAAATTGTTATGTTTGTATCCTAATCCTGTCGTCCTGAACATACTAGTCATGTATTGAGCCCACATATTATATCAACACATTGTTTACAATAGAAAAATCAAGATAGGTGATACAGTTATCACGATACAATAAGCAATAATGTTTGAGCGAAAGTGAACGGTAAGTAGCGTTGATTAGGAAAATGAAAGAGAAAAAGAAAATGCCTTTGAATGACAAGAAAGGCTGTAATTCTCGTCGTCGCGTACAACTTTTATTTCTTTATTGACGGATATACGTTATTACATGAAAAATCGATACATTTAAATCATGAGTATAACGTATTTAATATTACACTTGGGAACACATGATACCGAATATTTTACTCATTCGAGCGCCAAAATGTCTTTCGAAGCATCTAGGTTGAACAATATCGACACATTAGTTCTTGAGATCGAGGAGAAAATGGGAATGGATTTTGCGTAACGTTAATCGTAATATGTGCACATAGTAAAGCGCAAATGATTTCGCTACGTACAATGCATTCATGTAATCTTTTGGATTTTTCCCGTCTTTCTTTGTCTTCCCGTTGTTACGCCAATAAAACCCGCTTTTGCTATTTAGACAGGGCATAAATCCAAAAATTAAAATTATACGAAGACGGGGTTGGACTTCGTATCATCGATCGAGATTACAATTAACGTATCGATATGTCTTATGAATGACACTCAAATGTTGATAGTAACAAAAAGTTAAACGCTACAATATCACTTGTTAATAAGCTGCTTGATTTTGCAATATGAATAATGACTAGGAAATTCATGGGACTAAATAGTAGAGAATAAAGTCTTGTGTGTCTTAAGAGAATAATATTTAAATTCTTAATTAATAAAAAGAGACACATCGAGACGTTGCTTCTGTGAAGGCACAGTGATAGCAAAAGCTGACAATGATTCTTAAACGAGGCGACAATCGAAAGTCTGCGTCTGTTTGATAGCGAATTCATCTGAGAATGAATGCGATCGCGTTCAATCCATAAGAAAAAAAATTGATTATATCTAATTACGCATCTCTTCTCTTTTTCTTTTTTTTCTTTTTTTTTTCTTTTTTTTTTTAGATTTTTGATGGGAATTGGAGTCTTCAAATTTTAAGACTTTGATTTAATAATCGTTTCTTTATCTTTTTTAGATTTCTGTTTTCTTTTTCCACGAGAAAGAGTCTATTCGTGATTTTTTATTTTTTCTATCTCTTTTCTTGAACGTATTCAGCGCGATTAACATCAGATCTCGTTTGTGAAATGAAAGTGTTACGAAGATTTGATTTATATCGTATTGATTTTGTATAACGAAAGGAATAATAAATTGAGTGACCTGTATATGTAAATAGAGAATTGAAGTGCACCGGCTGTTTTTATCAATTAATCAATTAAACGAAGTAGTAAATTGTGTTGATGATTATTCTTTATTTTTTAAGTCGATAGTCGATCACTGTAGACTGTTCACAAAATGCATATTTGAAGGATGATGAGACGGCTTTCGTGCGAAAATTAATATTCGGTTTGTATTAATATTCGGATGTACAACGAAACTATGCACGTTAATGTTACCACGAACAACCGAGAATGATTTACTAACGAGACGAAAGGAAACGTTCTAAGCGAAGGGAGAAAAAAAAGAGAAGAGAATAATCATTGAACAGACGAGGGACAGTTATTAGCACAAATAATTTCCTATCGATTTATCAATCGCGATATAATAATAGATATGTACAGGCGAGAGAAAATAAACTGCGTGCTCATTAATTGTACATACTTTTATAGTTCGATTTTAAGCGATTTAGATGTACCTGTAGATTTTTAAGCCAATAACTATAGTGTAAACTATATAAGCCTTTATATAGCGCACGAATAACGAGATAAGATCTTAGATAAGTTTATACGAGCTAAATATACGATCGGCTTATATGTTATGCAGGTTTCTTTCTCGTGGCGTGGTTTAGCAATCGTTAAATATGGGAGAAAAATACGGAAATACTGAAGTGAAACTTCAGTAAACTTGATATTCGAAGAGAAAAAAAAAACGAAGTACTCGGCGCCGATTTTTCTCACTGTAATTGCACTGTTTCATATCTAATACACGTTATCGTGCAACGTTGTTCCCCCCCCCCCTCTTTTTTGTAGAAGAGACAGAAATGTAACATAATGTAAATAATTTTTATCCAAAGTTGGTGAGAGCCACGCCACGAGATCGACCCCGAAATGTAAAAAAAAGATTATATATTATATATACGTATATATATATTTATATATATATATGCATATATATATATAAATTCTTACATTGTTACTTATATACCGCTAAAATAAATCTTAATTTTACATTTAAGGCTTACGCTAAAAAGCGGGTGGGGTTTATTGGTTGCTTAACTATAAGAAAATGTATAAAAAATATTTCATATAAAAATTATACACTAGATCGCAAGAAATGATTATGTTTATCAATGTGGAGGTGGGATGCGTTTTGAGGAGGGACCGTAATATTTTCAAATCGTCATTTCGTTTTCGCTGAATTTATTTTTCCTACGTAGCTTTTTAAGATCTTTATCTTTTTAGATCTGTTACTTTAATTCTGTTATTTTTTTTCGCCTTTTTTCACATTGTTGTAATCCTTCAATAATTTGACTCGCTAAACTCGCTCATTTGCCCAATGATATAATCTCTTTCTTGAATAATGTAGCTCTACAAATACAATTATATTTATAATGTTACCATTTTATATTAGTGCCATTTTTATATACCTTGATACGTAGCTCTCGTTTTTTTTTTTTTTTTTTTTTTTTTTGTTGAAGAGATGGAATTTGTTAGTAAGATCCCTCCTTAAACGAATACAGAAATGCGTAATTTTATTGAAAGGCATCCTCGACGGTGTGAGAAAAGACGAGCGCAAATTTTATTACACAGACAAATCCGTACGTTTTGCTAATCGACATCGATCAGTCGTCAATCGCGATCCGATCTCAAGAAATAACGTTACTTATTATCACGTAATGTATTATTCATGATACATTGATATCATTAATAATTACATACTATTTATCTCGTTATCTATTTAGTGCCCATTATAACTTAAAGATAACAGAAAGATTTAATCGCTTCATCAACTTTAAAAAAAAAGTGTTTTTCAACCTCACATATGCTGTCATTGATCAATTACTATTAAATCGACGAGATCGCGTTGCGTTTGTGCAAAATTTTACAAAAATCTAGTCGCTTTAACCGATTCCCAGCGGAGCCCTCTTCTCGGTATCTTTTGTAAAATCGAAAGTGACATGATCAAATTTTTCGACAACGATTCGTCGCCGATGAAAAGCGACTGATTGATTTGAGATGTCATCCGATGTGTCTGGAGCTTAACTTCACAGACACTACTCCAGAAGTAAAATCAATGTATCTACTAATTAATGGGCATGAGTCAATTATTGGACGAAATATTTTAAATATTAAGTTTGTAATGATATGTACTTCTCCTTACGTTAGGCCTTTGACCTGTTCACACCTCTCTCATGTGCTTGAGATGCGCCCGCTGATTATTCAATTGCCATGTACCTCTCAGCTACTCTACTTCTCGTGACTGAGTATGGTGACTTCTTTCGCTTATGATGCGCATGCTGATTGTATGTATACAGTCGTATGGTACCTACAGTTTAACGATTTCGAACGACGAAATTATGTTAGATATTAGAGAAGTGTTCTTGGCGAAGATACTCTCGGTAGATTGTCGCTTCTTTCCTAGAGGAGACGAGCGTATAAAAATACTTTGGGGAATCTTTTGGAAATCGAATCTGATGATCTTTAACTGCTTTGCCACGCTCGCTCACCAATGATATACAATTCTAAATAAATTTGTTTATAAACATTGAATAAAACGAATTTCTTTAAAGTCGTACATATCATTAAAAGCTTGACATTAAACATTTTTGATACTTTGTCCAATAATTGAATCATGCCCACTAATTGATACATTTACCTTATCGATTCGCGACAGATACTGAGCAAGAACATCGGAAAGGGCGTAACTTTCTTCGGGCCGCATTTCCGTTCGCGT